CATTGTCTAACAATGTCGAATCATGAATGAAGACAGTGTGGTCATGTGTGGTACAGTTTAGAGGAATAAAACTGTTGGATTTATTCTTATACCAAGCAACCTCACACAATTATGGGAAAACCAGCCAAAGATATGTAAACACTTTTAATACATGTTTTTCTTCAATAAGTTTCATTATCTCAAACTAAAATATTTTATTTTAAATAAGTTGTTATTAATAATTTTATTTCATTTATCCATTATTTATATAGACTATCTCACTGAGATTCAAGCTGGGAGACCTGTTTATAAATAGCAATAAGTGTTAAAATAAAAATAAAATTCACAGAAGTAAAACTTTCTGGCATCTAATGATCTAAATAAAATATATAATGAAATATAATTTATATGAATGTATATAACAGTTAAAATGTTTATATGAACAAAAACAGTACTGATCAGAAATTACATAGCTTGTCTTATGTCTAATTTCTATTTTTAAACTTGTTTATATTGTTTTTAACGCCTTTCTGATTTCCAAAAATGTATATTCCTCTCTTCTGATCAAAGCATAATTAATTGCAGTCTGACAAAGAGGAAATATACTATAATATATAGTAGTAACGTAGTAGGTCAATATAGTTTGGCCTTTATACATAATGTTTTAGATACATTTTGAACAGCAAGACATAGCTTTATGTTGGGTTGAAACATGCTTCTGGTTGCATTTTTTTAAAAGAGTATTCCAATAATTTCAAAAGAAGAAGAAGAGACACGAGGAAGACATTGGAGGGATAGATGGAGATGCCAAATGTTATGTATTACGACACAATTCCATCAAGCTATAGAAATCATTTTTCCCAGGAAAAAAAAAAATCCTGTCAGCCATACTGCAAGCAGAGCCATTAGATTCCAACAGTACAGGGATGGCACCAGCGTATTTGAACATAGGGGGCTTCTACAGGCCTCTACGCCTTTTTTTAATGAATGTAATGTCGCTTTCACAAACCTTCAGGCTCCCTTCGCAGGGCTCTATCCAACTCATCTCAGCACAAATATTGGTTACACTGAAAGCTGTCAAATTAACACCGAAATCAGACCAATGCACTGGATTTTAATCAGCATAACTCCAGAGAAACAGTCCTTTTTAAACACATTCAGCTCCCTATCTGCACAAATATGAGAAACGCACCATGAAAAAGAGAAGCTTGTGCATTTCATACTCTGTCATCGACTCATCCTGAGCGCTTTTAGGCAGGTGAACAAATGCACTACCGACCCAACAGCGAGAGTTGGCTTTGATTTTAAAAACTAGGCTTAAAATCTAACTTTATTCATGGGTCAGACTTAGTCTGACCTTGTTTGTTTTCAGTTGGTTTTATTATTTTTAAGTGTTCCTGATTCATATAGTCTTGTTCTTTTCTAAGCATGTTTTATAGCTTGCAGCTATGTTCAGAACTGTTTCAGTTGCTGGCTGTCTTAAAGTGTAGGCACAGTATTACAGTATTCCTAAAAAAAAAAAAAAACTGATTCTATCTTATGCCTACCGACATGTTATGCAGTTTTCAGTGTCTGAATCAACAGGGAACACTCTTGCAACACAGTAAATATATAACTTACACGAAAAAAGACTTAAAAACTATAGCATACCCATTCCTGGAGCTATACAGGGTGGTTCATCTTCTGAAGCATTAGAAGCCACTAAATGATCCTGTGAAACAACAAAACAGACACATCATCATCACTTAATGGCTTGTTCAGTCCTGCTAAAGATTAAGAGATTCCTCGTGAAAAACCTTGCTGTATTGAGAAAGATGAACACTGCCAGATCATTGGAGATTGAGAAATATTTTTTTTGACGGAACCTAAGTAACTATGTAGTTGTAAGAACTTGATATAACCAAATACCTTTTAAAAACAAGCTTGTTTCTTTCCTCACCTCAGGTTTTTTGTCTTCGTCCATGATTGGAGAATCGAAAACTAAGTGCAACAGAAAGAAGAGGAATGAGAACGGCTCACATCGAGGTGCAACTCTGTACACAAACAGAGGGCGGACTGCGGTGAGGCGTTCACTGACAGTTGGACACGCACTGACTGCTGACGTTGCTTTATGTGCAACACAACAACTACCGGCTTAGCTAAAGGTTGCTACCGCTTACAACGCAGAACATGTTGCTGTTGAAAGTGGTGACTGTAACAGACCTAACAGAATTAATCACACACATATTACAATATCACTCGATATCGCTATGAGTGTGAGGGGTGACCTACAACAAAGCAATAATATAGTCAAGGCTGTTTATACATTTTTTTTTATAAATGCCTGCTGCTGCAGCGCATGCAAACACTTTACTTATTGAGAACTTCACTGTTTCCCTAGCTTCCTCTGGATAAAGCTAACTTAAAGCTAGCATACGCTAGCTGGTTCGATAAAATATGGACACACAAAGTTTATTTACAACCAAAACAATATTAAAATGCATCTAACTTCTTTTCTGACTCAAGCAACTCCTAAAGATGTTATAGAAAACATGTTACTTACAAAGCCAGCCAACCGGGGCCCGTCTGTCCCACTGGTGTTTGCTAATGCAGCAGAGTAGCACTCAGTTGGTTAACACTGACAGCCGCGGTGCATTATGGTACATGTAGGCATTTACGACCAAATCAGGTTTTTTAAGGAAAACTTTTTTATTTGTGTTTTTTCTGTGACATTTCACAAGGTACAATCAAAGTCTGGACTGTACCTTATCCAGTAACCTTTCACTATCAGAGGTTCTGCTCTGAGTCAGCTATAATGTGAAAATCAACAGAAAAAATGCGTTTTGAACTCATTAAAGGTTCTAGTCTTAAAGTGCTTGTGGATGCATTTAATGTGCGTATTATAACGAGGCAGCCTCAAGACAATCGTATGATAATTAGCTAATGTGAAAAAGACTTTAGCCACAGTGTTTATGTTTGATGCAAGTTTTATATGTAGGTGGATCTACACTGTAGGCCCTATAAAGTAATATGTCTGCAACAAATGTCATGCTGATGTGTCACTAAGTATTAAACTTCCTTTATTGAAGTTCCTGTAATCTTTTGTGCAAGAAAGTTTGTGGTGTGCACATGTAACACATTTAAAAAAAAAAAAGGCGTATGGTAAATGCATATCTATATGCTAGTTTTTAATCTATGAATATTATAAATATATATTCTAACTACTTGTGATTTAATTTACAGAAAGATTGTTTTTGGATTGTGTCAGAGGATCAAACAGAGTATAGCTTACTCATCTTTGCAATAACCCATTCAAAAAGGTACAATTTACCACATAGCACATTGTTTTGTTTACATTACATCAAACCACCTCAACAATATAGTTGAGCTTCTTCCTTTAAAATGAGCTGATCACCAAATTTTCAGGAGCCCACCAACATTTTTCTAAATTCCCGATAACTTGTTTATTAACACTACACAATGCCTTGTTGAAGTATTCATACCTTTTTACACATTTTATCAAACTAACCTTAATGTATATGTTGGGATTTTATGTGAAGGAACAATGCAGGGTGATTTTCAAGTACGTAAAAGGGAGAAGGATGTCATTCAATTTTCTTATTCTGAAAATCTAATCTGAAAGGCATGGCCTTTCTCAAGAGTTGGACACACCTGACACAGATCAGGAGATTAATCAGATTATGGAATATTAGTGTTAGGTTTAAAATAACTATGTTCCGACCTTTGGACATCTCACGAAACACTTCACAATACAACATCTAAAAATAAGATTGAGGTATAATCATAAAGAGCAATGCACAGAGAAGCAGACAAGAGGTCTGTAGCAACTCTGGAAGAGCTACAGTAAATTATAGCTCGGGTGGGAGAATGTGCCAACAGGTCAATTATTAGTCATGATGGGAATGTGGATAGATACAGAGGAAAAAAACTGAACAAAATTAGCAAAGACTTTGCACTGGGGCAGTGGTTCACCTTTTAAAAGGCAAGAAAATCAAAACATATGGCTAGAACTTAACTAGAATGTTTCGGTAAAATCTGATGGCCCTTGCTAAAGCCCATACCTAACTCAAATTAGAATATTATGAAGAGACTTAAAAATACATGTCCTAAGACACTGTGCAGTCTGGCTGAGTTTGAGTTATCTTGCAAAGAATAATGCTTTAGAAAAAAAACTTGTTGGTTGATGCATAAAATAAGCTAATAAATAATAGACTTCAGCATAAGGTGGTCTTACAAATGATTCTCTTCAGGGTCTAAATAACTTCCCATAGTACCTGTTGTATTTATATTATGTATAAATAAATTAAACAGGCTTCTATCAGAATCCATCCACTACTTTGGGTTGTTTCAAGGCATACAATTTTAATTAAAGTTTAAGATTCTAACTTGAGAAAAAAAAATGTCCAAAGATATGAGTACTTTTACAAGGCACTATACCTGTGTTACTACTCTTAGCCCTCTTACAATCCAATAATGTGCTAACTTACTGATAAAGGATGTGTGCATATAGTGAAATATCCATTGTATTGCTAATTAAAAATGGAAAGCTATGAAATGTTTTAGATTTGAAGCATATACCAAGTTAAAACATTGTGTGAAGTAATATGCTCAAAGCGCATACATTATTGCCACATATATATAGTGAACATTTGCATATTATTTGTGCAGATCTCAACAGCTGTATTGCATGAGCTACGTGTCTACTCAGCTAGAGGGATTAGGGGACAAAGTCCTAGTATGTGTTCTAAAGAAATTTCTTTCCATATTGGAGTCTGTAGGGGATATGGAGGTGTCTTTCATTTTTTTATTTTAAAAATCTTAACATGTTTCTTCACCTTGTGCCTTTTTTAATTATAGGTGTTTACCCTGCTCTTTAGCACCCTGTTTTATAATTTATCGCTGCTGGTTTCATTGGTGGGTGAAAGCTGAGCAAGGTCATCCTGAGGCATGAAGATGACATCATTTCCTTCAACAAATCACATATTTTGTCATCCAGAAATGTTTTTTTTTTCATATGCCATTATCATTTTCTTGCATTCTGCTGCCCAGGACACCAGTCACATGAATTGATATGAGTAGAAGGAGATGAGAAATAGGGGATTGTTGCATTTGTGATCACACAGTTCTGAAGTACACTCAACAAAAATATGAAAGCAACAAATTTGGATTTGCTCCCATTTTTTATGAGAAGAACTCAAAGATCTAAAACTTTTTCCACATACACAATATAACCATTTACTTCAAATATTGTTCACAAAGCAGTCTAAATCTATGATAGTGAGCACTTCTCTTTTGCTGAGATAATCAATCCCACCTCGCAGGTGTGCCATATCAAGATGCTGATTAGACACCATGAATAGTGCACAGCTGTGCCTTAAGGGCTGGTTATACTCCTGCAGCAGTGTGTCGCAGTGAGCTTATCGCAGGTATGACGCAGATATTTTTGATTTATGTCCAATTTTGAAGGATGGTCTTATGTCATTCCACGGCACAACACAAGAGGGACAATCACAAACTAGCTGTGGGTCTAGATACGGCCAAGGCAGTGAGGAAGTGGAAAAATACAAGAGGTAAGTTTGTGCAACAATGGAGGGACATGAGGGTGAAAAAGAGCGGGGATCCAGGTCTCAGCATTCTTGCGCACCTTGCTCTTCTAGCAAGTCGATCTTCACGAGTCGTATTCCACAATGGCGGTCATATAACCTGAACAAGCCAGTAAGATACCAAACAGGAAATATGCATATTTGTGAGGGGATGTAGATTTGACCAATCAGAGGCCTCATGTCTGCGACACTGTCTGCAGTCACCTACAATTTCGGAGAGGTGCACCAGAGTGTCTGTGGAAGGGGCGGGGGCATATCTGCGTTAACTGCAACACACGCAGATGACCTGGTTTCTGAGTATAAATCAGCCTTTAGACTGCCCATAATAAAAGGCCAATCTGAAAGGTACAGTTTTATTTTATTGGTGGGAAGTGCAACACGTCTCCTTCACATAGGGTTGAACAGGATGCCAAAAGGCCTGTGGAATGTTGGTTCACTCCTCTTCAATGGCTGTGTGAAGTTGCTGGATATTGGCAGGAACTGGTACACGCTGTCGAATATGCCAATTCAGAACATCCTAAACAAGCACAATGGGTAACATCTCCGGTGAGTATGCCGGTCATTTAAGAACTGGGACATTTTCAGCTTTCAAGAATTGTGTACAGATCCTTGGAAGACGGGGCCGTGCAATATCCTGCTGCATCAAGAGGGGATGTTTTTGGATGTATTGCACAACAATGGGCCTCAGGATCTCGTCACGGTATCTCTGTGCATTCAAAATTCCATCAATAAAATGCACCTGTGTTTTTCATTCATAACAGATGCCTGGGCATACCATAACCCCATCACCACCATGGGACACTCAATCCACAACATTGACATCAGAAAACCACTCATCCACACAAGGCAACACACGCTGTCTGCCATCTACCCTGAACAGTGTAAACCAGGATTCATCTGTGAAGAGAACACCTCTCCAACGTTCCAGACACCAGTGAATGTGAGCATTTGCCGGCTCAAGTATGTTATGACGATGAACTGGAGTCAGACGGAGACCCCGATGAGGGCGACAAGCATGCAGATGAGCTTCCCTGAGACGGTTTCTGACAGATTGTGCAGAAATTTGTTGGTTATGTAAACCAATTGTTTCTGCAGCTGTCCAAGTGGCTGGTCTCAGACAATCTTGGAGGTTGAACATGCTGGGTGTAGAGGTCGTGGGCTGGTGTGGTTACACGTGGTCTGCAATTGTGAGACTGGTTGGTTGTACTGGCAAATTCTCTGAAATGCCTTTGGAGATGACTTAAGGTAGAGAAATGAACATTCAATACACAAGCAACAGCTCTGGTTGACATTCCTGCTGTCAGCATGCCAATTGCATGCTCCATCATCCATGGCGACATCTGTGGCATTGTGCTGTGTGACAAAACTGTACCTTTAATTGTGGTCTTTTATTGTGGGCACTCTAAGGCGCACCTCTGCACTAATCATGGTGATATAGATGGATTATCTCAGCAAAGGAGAAGTACTAACTATCACAGATTTAGACTGGTTTGTTAACAATATTTGAGGGAAATTGTAAATTTGTGTATGTGGAAAAAGTTTTAAATCTTTGAGTTAACCTCATAAAAAAAGAGAGCAAAACCAAAAGTGTGGCGTTTATACTTTTGTTGAGTGTATGGTGTACTTTTCAACATTCTCCAGCAGCAATGAGCTCCCCAGGTCTTTCTCCCAACCGGCCTCTCCTATTTTCTTCATCCTCTTCTTCTTCAAAAAGGGTGTGATGAATATTCCGAAGCTTGCTTGTGGGGACTTTGGTCAGGAGAGGTGGCTCAGTGTTGTCAGCTGGAGCAAGAGGCTCCATAAGTGCAGGGGATGACTTGGGACTGAGTGCGTCTTCACTAGAGGGAGGGTTGGGGCTCACTCCATTCACATATGTAGTGGAGGGCAGAGTTACTGTAGAAAAGGCAGCAGTGGTTGATACTGGGGAACTAATCTTAGGCTCTGAAAAGATAAAAGTCATGAGTTGAACTTCACATTCAGAATGTTCTAATAAATGTTAATCCAGTATCAGCACCAACCTATTGTAGGGCATACCTGTCATGGCACAGGAGACATGAACAATAGTGTGAGTGCCTTCTAGGTAAACAGTATCCATGTTGTGTTCTGATGGTAGTGGTTCAACGGTTGAGACCTCCACCTTTGGCTTGCGGCTTGTCAGCATGTACGGGTGGATATCCAGAGACAGGTTTCGTGCATGTTTCTTCTCCATTCCACTGATGTCTGTAGATTAGAAAAAAAGCTGTCTGGTTTAAAAAGAATCTGAATGTCACTGGTGAAAATGTACCATAAGGTAGACCTGGGGACCTCTAGGATGTCATTCCTTAGTACAAATATCAAACAAGAGGTCATGGAATTTTATTCATTTATTTTTTACTTCTGTTACTGATTAAAACTGTAAGTTATGACAAAATAAGTTTAGGTTCTCATCCTGTGTTAATTTTTACATTTTTAAATGTACTTTAAAATTCTTGCTCAGATTTTAGTAATATTAAGAACTTATTTAGTGACTTATGAAGATCAGCAACCTTAGTTGAATCCCATTATAAGTATATCTAAGGTAATAGAGCCTTATGAAAATTGGAAGTCATGGATAACTAATGAAAAGTGCTAAACTTGTCCATTTAAAGAGGCATTCCGAGGTTTTCTAATAATACTGCCCCCTTAAGCCAAAACACAGGTCTGCAGCACTCTGCTGTTTGTTCTCATAGCTCGTGCTCGTACTTGACAAGGTTTTTTTTTTTAACCTACATTGACTTGCCTTTGGTGTCTGAGGAGAACTGAGTCATTTCTGGGTATCCACAAAATCCATCTCCAATTTAACGCTTAGATTGTTTGCAAGGTCTAACCGATTGAACAGCTTTAAGTTACAGCTGCTGAATAGCGCGGGAACTTTCGACCTGAAGTAAATTCAGGAATATATGCTACAAGCTAACAGATGCAGGTGGACACCTCAGACACTTAACAACTGAGGTGTCCACCTGCTCATCAAATAATGTTTAAGTAGTAAAGGGTCAAATATAAAGTCTGTTTATAACATATTTTTTTATTAAAAACTTACATAATGTCTTTTTAAAGGTAAAAAAATGCTTGGAAAATTTGTGGGTTTTCCCCAATTAAATTATCATTTTTAAAATTTTGAATGGATATTATACTACTGCAAATAAGCGTGATATGTTTTTGGTATAGGCTTGTTGCATATCTATATCAGAGATTCAGATAATTGTGGAGAACCATAAATTTGCTCTTGTCATGTCATAGACAGAAGACAGAATACCTTTAGTTGAAGGATGCTGTGTGCTTTTACTGTCCAGCAGTGGTGCAATGAGGCTGTCTGCCATGTTTTTCCGTCTGAGTGGTTTGGGCTTTTCAGGCTTAGTGTTATTCTCCAAGCGGGTCATGGTAAGCGGCTCCTTGATTAGCAGACAGAGAAGAGGTGAATTTTTTATTGTTTAAATAGCTCCCATTTCAAGAGCCAAAAACAACAGTTAGGAACCTCAGGCACATTTCATAAGTTTTTAATGGACTCTAAATCAAAGGTTTCCTGAGCTGAGAGCATGTTGATCTATATTGTTCTGTAAAATAGTTTCAATGATACATCTTCATTCGTTTTCAATAGTAGCTGCATTTATGCCCAATTGGAATGTTGGTATGGTGATGTTCAATGAATTCTGAAATACAAGAAAAATGTGAGCTGTGTTCAGCAGTGACTGCCTTACCTTAAATGGCTGAGGAAGAGGGTTTGAGCTTGGTATCCATTTGATCTTCTTTCGGGGACGTTTGATGACCAGCGGTTCCCCAGCTATCTCTCCTACCCCAATATCTGAAGGGTCCATGTTGGGATCAATGGTCTGTATCCCAGATTCCCTCACAGTAGGTGTGACGTCATGGTTGGACTGTGCAAGTGCAGCCAACAGTTGCCTGACCACATTGTCATACATGAGATCACTCTCATTAGTTATGAAGTCCAGCCGGTTGAGAGACTTAATGTGGTCCCTGTTCTCATTACAAAACATGGCCAGAATGTTGATGTCACAGAACGGAGACTTCTGCCATCGTCGCTTTGTCTTGATCCCGACTTTATTAAGTTTGTCAAAAACAAAATTAGACTTGCGCACCACAAACAAATGCAACAAATTTAGCAGGATGATGAAGTTCATAGTACATAGCAGGGCTAAGTCTACCACAGCCATGATACGTTGCAGCTGCACAGCAGGGAGCTTGCAGTTGACATTAAGCTTTAACTCTGGGTAGCTGCTGATGTCTGGGGGCTGGCCTAGTGCACAAGTAAACTCATTCTGCCTTTGCCGTGCATAGTATGCACTCAGGTAGGAAATGGGAATAGAGCTGAGGCACATGATAGCTAGATGGCGAGCTAGGTAAATCTTAGCCAAAAAGTTACTTTCGCCTCGTCTCTCAAGGTATTTTTCAAAAAGATTTTGCTCTGGACTTTTCTCCTTCTCTGCATTTTCTATAATCTCTCTCCTTTCCCGTTCAGTTATACCAGGGCCTTTGGACTGAATCTGCTTCTCAATCTTGGGGGCTCTGCCTTCAGCAGCTCTGTGGTAGCAGTTATCAATCTCTTGAAGCAGGAAATTGAGCTCTGAAGTTAGCCGCGTAGACGCAAGGAACTCCCAACCTAAGGCAGGAATGTACATGATCCCAGCAAAGGCAAGGAGGGCATAGGGCAGGAATTTATGTTCAAACAGGTCCACTCCAAGATTAGCATCACAAAGCTCTGTCCAGCAGTAGCCCCTCGCATAAAGTGCCTGGTCTCGGGTGAAGTTGTGCGGTGTGTAACAGTATATAGATTCCTCTGAAAAAAGAAAAGAAATATTTGGGTCAATATATATTTTCTGATTTATTATGATACTTAAATGTTTGAGCTGAAACAGTAAAGTACCAATATCATGCTATAGTGTACATCAAAGTCTGTATAAAGTAATATAACCACTGGAAAAATATTGCATATGGATAACACAAATGTTTAAAGTGCCTGTCTTTTATTTAGTTCTACTCTGAAATCCACATTTTCTTGAAGGAATTGTTTCGATTTTTATGAAAATGACAAATTGCTATTTTCTCTAATCATATTATAGCTCTGAGCATTTTTGTGTCATTCATCTGCTGAATACTAAAACCTTAACCAGAGACATTCTGCGTTTTGATATAATATCTATCTTTCATGTTCAAAAAGAGAACCTAAGAAGTATGGTCTGCCAAACATTTTCTCTGCCCATGTTAACAATACATTGGAATTCAATGTTTAATTTGGTCTCTGTTTATCTTTGTGACATTTAAGATTTTTTTTAATGAAATTGCTTTTTTTTGTCTCTAACTCTAACATACCGTCAATCCTTAGACTGTCTGAACTCCCACATTGTTCTGCTGCTTCATTTTCATTCCCAGCTGAATAAACACTGCAGCTGAGAGCCTGACTCAGCATCAAGCTAGCATTTGCATCAGTCATTGATTTTAAACTGTATTTTGGCCAAACTCCTTCTTAAACCTACTTTCAACAAAATATTACATTTTTTGCATCATCAAAACTATATTTTGTTTGAATTTTCTCAGAAACAAACTGGTCATGTAAACATCACCTTAAATACAGTCAAACACTCTGAAACAATGTTATATTTTACCATAACCATTATGATACAACCAATTTTATGCTGCAACCAATTTTATATGAAGTGATGTTAGACCAACACAAAATAGTATGTGGCTGCTACTATAATGCATCAGTCTGTCATGGTGAAGAGAGAGCTGAGAAAAAAGGCAAAACTTTTCTACGTCCCTACCCTCTGGATCATGACCAAAAGAACGAGATCCTGGATATAAGTGGCCGAAAATAGCTTTCTCAGCAGGGTGGCTGGGCTCTCCCTTGGAAATAAGGTGAGTAGGTTGGTCATTTGGGGGAGGCTTGGAGTAGAGCTGCTTCTCCTTCTCATCGAAAGGAGTCAGCTGAGGTGGCATGGACATCTTTTTCGGGAAGCCCCCTGTATGCCCCCCTTATGAGCTGTTTCAGGCATGTCCCACCGGGAGGAGGCCCAGGGGACGACCCAGGACACCCAGGACAAGAGAGTCTCTCAGCTTGCCTGGGAGAACCTCAGGCTTCCCCCAGCAGAGCTGGACAAGCTGTCTGTAGAGAGGGAAGTCTGGTAGTGTCTGCTGAGACTGCTGCACCTGAGCCCATCCATCCATTTTCCGTCACGCTTATCCCGGGTGAAGTCGCAAGGGGTGCTGGTGCGTATCTCCAGCTGTCAATGGGCAAGAGGCGGGGTACACCTTGGACAGGTCATCAGTCTATCGTAGGGCAACCCATTCCCAGATAAATCGGAAGACAACGAGAAGAGATAGCTGTTCTATAAAGTCCTTGCAGGTTTGTTAGAAAGCATTAGTGAACAAAAAGAATCAAGAAAATCATGGAACAATGCATACAGATAAATCAAAATGATGTTAGCTCAAAACAGCTTTAGGTTATAAAACAATTCTACATGCTTCAATATCTGGTGTTGTAGGCTACAGTTCAATCAATATAAAAAATAGAAATACACTGGAAACAACTGCAAACCCACAAAGACATGATTGTTAATGTAAAATGACAGGCTGGGTAAGGACAGTACTAATCAATGAAGCAGCCAAGAGGCCCATGGTTAAAACAAAGTCTTGAGCAGTTAATTTGTAGTTTGTTGCAAGTATTGTAGAGGGCAGAGATAACATGTGTACAAAGGTGGTCTAATGAGAGCAAAACTAGACATTATGTAGGTACAGTACTCAAAATGCTATGTGTGTTGGAAAACTTAATAGAATACAGACCCCTATAAAATATCCCCAAGGTTCAACAATGTGTATTAAGAATTATGCTGTGTCATGTTTATCCCATATGCAGAGAATGACTAAGAAAAGAACAGAGGTTTTAATAAAATATAATAAATCTTATAGGGAATCCCACAGGTAAAAAAGAACATGGGACATAGCAGAGCAACTACAGAACCCAGCAAGAGTAAAATACAAAACAAATGAGCTAACTGGAACAGCTTTAGAAGAATTAAAGCAGGAATACTGAGAGAGCGGGAGTAATTGGCAGATAGGGAGCTATACTAAAATCCAAGAGGTTCTTTAAACCAAAAGGGAAAATCCTGAGATTAGAATAAAAGAATATAAATCAATTTATATATGAAAGAACACAAAATATATTAAAACAGTAATGAAAGTATTTAACAACTAAATATACAATAATATGTTTTCTAACCACATACTCAAAGGGGAACACAAGAGAAAACCAAAAGAAACACCTACGTATTAAGAAATGCTGTGGGGAGGCTCTCCAGAGAAAGCAGAGGGAGCTAACTAAAAGACAATGCTGGAAGAAAAACTATCAATCATAGGCAGCAAGAAGACATGAGAATGGAGGGGATATTTAACTCTTCACAAACATCCAGAGCAGCAATTGAATATTTTAGATGAACACATATTAATTTCATGTATCTATTATGATTATGAATGGATAATAATTTATTAATAAATAATCTATGAATTTATGAATAATAACAACAACAACAATAATAATATTTTTACAACATATTAATTAAGCTTGAGCTCTCTGCAAAGATAAATGACCAGATATCAGTGGTATGATATTAAATACTGTAGGCAACATTTTACACATGCCCTGCGGCCAGGGCCGTTGGAAGTACTTTTGAACAAGGGGTGCTGTGATTTTTTTATTTTTTATTTTTTTAGAAAATGAACCTATAGGCCTATTTAAAATAAAATTAAAATAAATAAGTAAATAGATTGAGATTCACTACTTTATTGTCATATAAACTTCGGTGCACGCCACCAGGGTCTGTAACACACAGACCTCATCAGTTCTCAGGTGAATGTATAAGTTATTAATTCAACTTCACAATAACATTATAACAATGTAGATTTGGTCAGCTGGCATGAGCCCGAGTCACTGTGTTTATGTCACACAAACGCAAACCCAAAGGAAATAATTATATTATTATACTATTTAAACGTTGTTGAACAGTTCTCCATTACACAAAGAACACAAGACCAAAATAAAACTCTAAAATACTATGGATACTTTAAACTGCATGAATAGTGCGAATTGAGCCACAGTCAGGGCTACAGGCAGGGTGCCCTGCTCTTTTACAGGTGTCCAAATGTTGAGGTCGTAGAGAGAAAGTCATTCATAAGCGACAAATCCGAAATGCGTTTCTGTGCTATATTTCCTCCTCGTTTCTATGTAAATTTACTAGTCTGCTGCTGCAAGCAGGATACCACGCTCTAGCTACACATATAATAGTAAAATAAATAAGGCAAAAATCATTTCCCAAAATATTCTTAAGAAATGTATAAATTGTGCAAAGTATTTTTAAAACATTTTCTTTAAATCTCCCTCTCTCCACTAGGGGATTGTGCAGCACCCTCAGTACCCCCACTTCCCGTGGCCATGCTTGCATTTACAATGTAATTGTAGAAAAAGTGGTCATGCACACCTATGGATTCTAAATAGGTTTCTTCTTAAGGCATCTGGTTGTGCTAATTGTATTGTGGAGTATCTGTGTAAAGGGGCTTGAAAATTACCCAAAATTCTTGTATATCTTTTTGACTTTGAAATATGTCCCTTCTTCTTTACAACTATGAACTGTTTTGAGTCGGTCTATTACCTAAAACCCTGTCAAATTAAATTAAATTTTGTGGTTGTAACATGACAAAATATCAGACTTTCTTTCAATGCTTTGTGAGACATTGTATGTAAACTCAGACATGTTCTTGTGAACTGTCAAAAAGAGTATGTTAAAAAAGAAAAACTTTTGTTGTCACTTTAACACATACCCCCTCTAGTGGCTGAGCCACCCACCTGCAAAGTTTCTTGTGAAGACAAGTGTGACCAACAGGATGGGGATGATGACTGTCCCTATAGTAACAACCCGATCAAATGGCAGCTCCAGTTTGAGCTGCACCATGAGGCCAGCCAGTGCCCCACCCTTCTCATCCTGAGAGGAGCCTGGCATGATAAGCTCCTTCAGCTTTTCGCCAGCAAGTAGCGCTGTGGCCATGTCTAAGTTCTGATCAAGGATATTCTGCATGCGGAAACAGAAGGATGTTCTCTACAAATCCTCTCCGGCAAATGAGGCAAGACCCGACGCTCCCTCTTGTGTTTAGATACTTGCCAAGATGCTGTAAAGCAAACATACACACAGAAATGTGTGGCTACTGTAAGCCCACGTCAGCATATGTGAGAAAGTGGTAGTTCCTAGAGGTATGGTGACGTTCAAACTTTGCTCAGCAGTTGCATGTTGTTCAACTTTTGTAAAACAACCAACATAAGGGTTAGAAGCACTTCTCTCAATCAGCGTCCACCAGGTACATCCCTTTGTTTTGTCCCATCTCCACAGAGTCTGGCTGCAGTCCACAAGCTCTTTATGTGACAGGTTGAGAAATAACCTGAGTTTAGGAAGAGCTCTTGTGCCTCAAAGGAACAGTAATCACAGGCTGAAGGGTGGTTAGGTGATCATTGGAAAGAGGAAGCTATCCCAGTCCTTTCCTACAAGACAAATAAGAAGTTAGGTGTAAAAGTTAGTTGTTGTTTTTTTTCAAATTAAATTATACAGAAATAAAGAATGTTGCTATTATTTTAATGCTGCTCTTAATCAAAGTAAATTTTTAGGAAAATATTATATTTCAGAGTCTAAAACGATATGTTTCGATTAAGAACAGGTAATTCCAATACATTTTCCAGACAACATACCTAAGTATGGAAACGTTTTTTATGTTACTAGAGACTTTAACACTTTGTATTCCGGGTTCATATAGTACATATGACAGACTCTCTAAAAACTAGTGCATAATGGTAAAGCGGAACGAAACAGTGTTGAGAAATATTTTAGTAATGTGTTTTTAAGTGTGTATCTATTTTAAGCCCTAGAGAAAAGATATTTGTTCATTATTTTTAACACAATTGCTTAAGCTCACTAAGGCTGGGTGGAGAGTGTCTGCGAACTTCAATTTTCAACACTTTGATGATACAGAGTGTTAGTTTCCCACAGCATTTTGCTGCATCTCCATAAAGACCAGATCCAAAGAGCTATGAATAATGGATGACCTGACGATTGATTTTTCGAACTTAGCTGTGAAACAATAATGTTTTGGTTGTTTTTTGTAAGAAATCCTATCTTATCTAATCCTACCTATTGTATCCTTGTATCTTTGTCAAATTCAAGCATACCCCCCCCCCCCCCTAAAATAAAAAACAACCTTTTTTTTAATGAACAGAGGAAAAGACAAATATAAAACTGATTCAAACTGAAATCGACACCAAAATGTCAAATATTTTTATCTTGAACATGCTATCAGAATTATTTCTCTACTCTTCAATGAAGATTAGACAATGGATGCGGTAAGAATGCACAGTAAATTCCACACTCTTAAATATGCAGCGACCAAGTACATTGACTCCTTTAGAGTTATTAAAACAACAACTGAAGTAAAATATACGCTATGTAGAGTTCTAATTTAACACTAATTCTGAATGGGACCAAATGCATTCTTAAAATGTTACTTTAACACTGCAAAATGTACTGTGTGCTTACTAAAAAACCCTTAAAGTGATCCAAGATGTTTAGTGTCCGCCTACATTTTTTCTCATGTATGCAATTGTAAATGTTTAAACTAATGCACGTCAAGAGCCATAATTGTCTGCAGGATCACTTGCTGCAGCAGGGTTGGTTAACATAAAAGTTATGAGAAGCTCCTTTGTAGGGAAATTGAATGCATCACCATTTTACCATTAACTAATCGTACCTTTATATGTATGGCTGGGTATTTTGGCCAAAGTCCTGAATCGATTCGATTTTGATTCATACGTTCTAAATTATTCCTTTCGATTCGATCATTCGATTAATTTCGGTTCAACTGTGTTTCAAAATACTCATGTAATTAATTTTTTCCTGTCATATTAAACACAAAATTCAAACTTGTAAATCAGACAGTTAAAACTTGAGATGTGAAAAAACACAGTCTCAAAAGTGCAAACTTGTTTGTGAAAAAGTGAAGCCTCTCGAGCAAGCAGACGTGACACGGTAGGGACACAGCAGACATGCATGAGCTGCATTATCTTCACTGCACAAAGCATATTTGCAGCGTTGTCTGTAACAACTACAGGGTGTTTGCTGGTCAGCCCCCATTAATGTCTTTAGTCAACCTATTGGCTATACTTGCAGCTGACTGGATTGAAGTCATCTTGATGGTCTGTAGCACAAGATGAGAGGCGCCACTCATTATCAATGTAGGGGGAAGTCACCTTAATGTTACATATCCAGCACATTATCTTTAGCTGTTTTAAACCCAAAATGGTTCCAGACATCAGACTTCGGTTGGGACAGCTTGCTGAGCGGTGTGTTACTTGGGTCGGCATTTACACCTGCTTGCTCATTTGAATGTGAACGTCACGCATGTCACTATTAAACTAATCGATCTCATTCCCTACACATCGATTTTGCAAAAATGTAAAGGAATATATTTAAAATCGATTAAATCAATTTTTTCACCCAGCCCTATATGCCATTGCTTCTTCTTTTTATTAACAGTTGCATATCTGAATCTCTCCTTCTCGCTCTTATAAAATTACAGCTCTTCCACAAAAATCCTCTAATAGCACACACTGGTATATCCTGGAATATCCTCCTAAGATCCTAGATCAAAGAATATTAAGTAGCGGTTTCACTAGTGCAAAGAGCAATTAGTGTGCTCCTCTGTAGCCTAATAGTGAGCAGAAGAATCCTTAGAAGCATTATCAAGGGCCAATTATTTGATGTTAATGCTGACAAAGGATAATTACTGTTCCTTAAGGAGAGCATGAGATTTCCCTTTGGGGATAACAGCCTTCCACTTTAACCCCCCACATGAATTTTAGTTTCACCTGCATCCTGCAAGACTATGACAATAATCAGAGAAGATGAAAAGTTTGCATAATTTATATTTAAAGGAGCAGAAAGACATTTAAGGAGGTGTCTGTTTGCCACTGGCACGGCTCCAGCCCAACAGATTGTGCACCTCAGGTGGGCAATGTTACCAGTGTTTACATAGGGAATCCCACTTTTTTTGGCTACTACGACATCCCCGCTTGGCGGTTTGACTAGTGCAGCTGTCTGTGAAAGGAGGCTAAGTTAGACTTCAGGACAATAGCTCAGAGAGGGGAGCTCTTTCCGTTTCTCCATTAATTATTGATTGGATGACGAAATTACATGGAAGAACTTCTAAGGTGGGATGAGGGCATCTGGTTAGGATGTCTAAATGTCAAGCCGAGATAACTAAATCAGCATGGTCACACTTTCCACAATTTTAGCGTGAGTAAGTGTTTAAAGTGAACAAATAAGGTTTTTTTGTTTTTCTCATAAAAAAAGATCATCATGTCCTTGTTAGCACAGCAGGCTGGGATCCTAACTGCTGTTTCCAAAAGGGGTCCATTAGTCCAGGGCATCACCTCTGCCGAGACATTGCATTGCAGTTAATTACATTTGCCTGTAGATGACGAGCTGCTTCAGCACCTGAGCAATGGACAGCTCCCGCACGACCAGGGATAAGGCTGCTGAACGTCAAATACATGGATTTGATTTGTATGCTGAAATGTTTATGCGTGTGCTTTGAGTGTGCGTGAGACGAGACCAAACCGCAGCTGCTCTGGAGCGAACTACTGCTATTTGCAGGCGGCGAGAATGAGAGAGATAAGAATTTGAAAATAACTCACCGAATCCAGCTGTGTCTTCCCGGCGCGGTAAGAGTTAATCTGCAGTGCGGGCGAGACGCTACAGCTTGTATCCGAGCGCACCGGTTTGTTCCGCCTTTTCTCCCCCTCCACCCTCCCCCGGTGACTCCAGCCTTCTTCCCCAATCCACCCCCTCCCTCCCTGTATTTGACTCATCCTCAAAAACAAATTCTGCGGATCTTTGTTTCCGCTCTCTGAGTGTTTGAAGTGGAATTACAGACGCGCAGTGGTTTGTTGGCGAGACAAAAAAACGGGAAATGAGCTACATCCTGTAACAAATGAATATGCCTATACAAACATTGAGATTGAAATACAAAATAAGCAGCTTTCTGGGACAATCTTCTACTCAACATGATAATTTAGCACCCCAATTGTCACATTATTGACTCCAAATATCGATTATACGCCTTGCAGACCGGCTGTACGGCCCAACTCCTGTTTGCTCGGTCCATAGCTGCGTGACAATGACTGCGTTTTCTTGCCTACTTATAGGTTTATCCCGCATGTCCATCATCTGAGAATGAGACTGACCGCAAGACACATGCAAACGACGACAGGGAAAGATGCTTGTCATTCAAACCTTCCGAGTGTGGCCAGCAGCTTGGTTCTTTGCCTTTCTGTCTGTGGATGAGGCATTATCAAGAGGTTTCCTAAACCTCCTGTTTCGAGGAAGGTTTATGAGATTAAAAAAAGTGAATTGTTTGGACTGCAATGTTATCAGAAACTTAGTCTCATCATGTAAGTAATAATAATTTGGGGGGTTTTAAGACGGCTTTTAACTAATCTAAGGTGATTTGATAACACAACAAGCAAGTTTAGGACATTTTAATACTGAAACCTAAATCTTAAGAATGAAACATTCTTCAGATTCTGGTAAGGAAAAGATTACTATAGAGCCCTTGAAGGGACATGGAGGGGAATAAATAACTTTTGCAAGATCCTGCAATACTTTTGCGAGATCCAGCAATACCTTTGCGAGATCTTGCAAAGGTATTGCGGGATCTCGCAAAAGTTTATTTTTTCCTCCATGTCCCTTTAGGGGCTCCATAGATTACAACATCCCTGCATTTATTCCCAAATTTAATAAATAAAATGAAACAACACAACGGTTTTCTACTTCATATCAGAGGACGTCATTACTCAGCAATTTTCAGCAATACCCTAGATTTTTGTGCTTCTGACTCTTAAAGTAACGCCATAGTAATATCAAAAGCTTACGATTCTGTTTAGGCATTTAAAGAGGTCTTTCATGTATTTCAGCTACTCCACTCTCTAGAACATTATATGAAGTTTAGGCAGAAGTTCAACTGAAACTAAATTACTTACCCTCATCCATCAGAGGCTCATCATCCTCCATCGCAAGCCAATCAGTTTTTAACCGCACCACCAAGAAGCCCAATCAGCAATCAGAAAATACCCTAGATTTTTGTGCTTCTGACTCTTAAAGTAACGCCATAGTAATATCAAAAGCTTACGATTCTGTTTAGGCATTTAAAGAGGTCTTTCATGTATTTCAGCTACTCCACTCTCTAGAACATTATATGAAGCTTAGGCAGAAGTTCAACTGAAACTAAATTACTTACCCTCATCCATCAGAGGCTCATCATCCTCCATCGCAAGCCAATCAGTTTTTAACCGCACCACCAAGAAGCCCAATCAGCAATCAGAGTTCATCTTCAAAAGACTTCAACTCCATGAATCACCCTGCTACCCAGCCAAAGGGCAAGCTGCGGTTGTGTATGTCTGATTTGGACTCAGATGACCCAGATTCAACCCACCTGAATCGTAGCTAAGCTCCATCTAGCTTTTCCATGGTGTTTCTTCAACCTCATCCCTATTAGAGTGTTATTCCTCCTGGACTCTTACTTCCTTTCCAATTTGAGCCTGGTTCTGCCAGAGGTTTCTTACAAAAGGAGAGTTTTTCCTCTCCACTGTCATTTCCTGCTTGCTCATCATGGACAGGTTCATGCAAAATCCAGTACAGCTCAAGCAGATCGTCTCACCAACCAGCAGTCTCTGGACTGAACCAACTTCATCTATCTCCACTCTACCACCAGTTTCAGGCCTGTGGGAAACATCCCTGTTCTCATACACCTGCTCATGCATGGTAAAGAAAAATTCCCGCTAATGTTTCCTGCTGAGGTCTTAGCACCAAAATCTTAAAATAATTGTATCAATAAAATTCTTCTAATTTTCCTCTGTTTCCATGTAAGTTTTTCATATTGAACTACAAGTAGAGATGAGTTAAGGCAAGAAAGTAATAGTAGTAGTTTCAAAGTAATGTCACCCTGAGATCAGGTGGCAGGATGCCTAATGTGCTTTCAGAAAACACTAAAATACTTTCAAAGGACGGAATGTTCCTGCTACATTTAATTTTGATTTAAATGCCTGCCCTATTGGAAAACACTGCTGTGAGGTTTGGAAGAAGGAAAACTCTTCTCACGTTGAAAAAACATGAAGAACTAACTAATGTTTGCCAGAAAAAAAACAGAACTTATAGAGTAATGTACACACTAGAACAGAGAATATGTTTGGCATAGAACAAAAGCTGTAGTTAAGACACAGACTCAGTCTTAGACGTGAAATAGCAAATAAAATTCACAAACGAATCCATATCAATTACCTCTCATCAATAATTATAGGCCTCACTTGTCTGTCAAATCAAAGAACACGCTGCACACTTATAAAGGAAATATTTGATTTGAGTATGTTTACAGCCTCTGAAACATTTCTGCTTACTGCTGAGATCGTTTTGCTCTTGTGTAAATGTCTGAGTGTGTCCAAGTGGGGCCTAACCATTAGTATGAAACCCCAAGCCGACTTCTGCCAGTAAGGGAATCCGCTCCTCACCACGCACTGCTTCCAAATATAGGCTCCTTCCTTCTGCCTCACCCCTCCTCCTTCATATTTATGTAACCTTCAACAAGCCTTGAAGATTTAGTTTCCTGACAGTGCAATCTTTTCATAATATTGGTACCTAAAAAAAAAACAAAAAAAACTGTGGGCCCTTTTTGAGGTCGGTCTATCTATCTATCTATCTATCTATCTATCTATCTATCTATCTATCTATCTATCTATCTATCTATCTATCTATCTATCTATCTATCTATCTATCTATCTATCTATCTATCTATCTATCTATCTATCTATCTATCTATCTATCTATCTATCTATCTATCTATCTATCTATCTATCTATCTATCTATCTATCTATCTATCTATCTATCTATCTATCTATCTATCTATCTATCTATCTATCTATCTATCTATCTATCTATCTATCTATCTATCTATCTATCTATCTATCTATCTATCTATCTATCTATCTATATACACACTGGGTATGGAAAGTATTTTGTCTGGAAAATTTATTGGAATAAAATCCATGCCATTCTTCCTTGCAGGTCCTCTCCAGTTCTGTCAGGTTGGATGATGAGCGTTGGTGGACAGCCATTTTCAGGTCTCTCCAGAGATGATCATTTCAGTTTAGGTCAGGGCTCTGGCTGGGCCAGTCAAGAATGGTCACAGAGTTGTTCCTAAGCCACTCCTTTGTTATTATAGCTGTGTGCTTAGGGTCATTGTCTTGTTGGAAGGTGAAGCTTCGGCCCAGTCTGAGGTCCTGAGCCATCTTAAAGAGGTTTTCTTCAAGGATATCTCTGTATTTGGCCACATTCATCTTCCCTTCAATTGCATCCAGTCGTCTGGTTCCTGCAGCTGAAAAACACCCCCATAGCATGATGCTGCCACCACCATGTTTCACTGTTGGGATGTTAATGGGCAGGTGATGAGCAGTGCCTGGTTTTATCCACACATACCACTTAGATTTAATGGCAAAAAGTTCAATCTTGGTCTCATCAGACCAGAGAACCTTCTTTCTCATAGTCTGGCCTTGAGTCCTTCATGTGTTTTTTGGCAAACTCTATGCAGGCTTTCATATGTCTTGCTGAGGAGAGGCTTTCGTAGGGCCACTCTGCCATAAAGCCCCGACAGGTGGAGGGGTGCAGTGATAGTTGACTTTGTGGAACATTCTCTCATCTCCCTACTCCATCTCTGGAGCTCAGTAGCAGTGATCTTTTGGGTTCTTCTTTACCTCTCTCAACAAGGCTCCTCTACAGCGATTGCTCAGTTTGGCTGGATGGCCAGGTCTAGGAAGAGTTCTGGTCATCCCAAACTGCTTCCATTTAAGAATTATGGAGGCCATTGTGCTTTTAGAAACCTTGAGAGATGCAGAAATTAATTTATAACCTCGGCCAGATCTGTGCCTTGCCACTATTCTGTCTCTGAGCTCCTCGGGCAGTTCCTTCGACCTCATGATTCTCGTTTGCTTTGACATGAGCAGTAAAGTCTTATATAGACAGGTGTGTGCCTTTCCTAATCAATGCCAATCAGTTTAATAAACACAGGTGCATTCCAATTAAAGAGCTGAACAATCTCAAGGGGGATAAAAATAAATGACCATCATGTGAATCATGGGTCTGAATACTTATTTGATTTTTCAGTTTTTCTCTTTTAATAAACTTGCAAATATTTCTACATTTTTGTTTTTTTCTGTCAAGATGGGGTGCTGAGTGTACATTACTGAGAAATTAAATGAACTTTATTGATTTTAGCAAATGGCTGCAATGAAACAAAGAGCGAAACATTTAAAGGGGTCTGAATACTTTCCGTACCCACTGTATATATTTTGATAAAAAAAATTAAAATAACCTTGGTTGGAAATAGGATGAAAAGTCAGACATTTTAAAATCTTTTCTTAAACCTCTGTAAGGAACAGAAAGCAGTGCCCATTATCAAGACTGGAAAGGCTGTAACACGATAGCAAAGCTTTTAAGTCAGACCGTAATGTAATTATGAAACTGAGGTTACCAGGATAGTGGAAGTCTAGATTGGCTTTTGAAACCACAAAAAATAAATTTGCAAAAACAACAACCTCTTACAGGGAAAAGAGGGAGCTGACTGAGAGAGGTACTTTACCTCAAACGATCTAAATCAATATCTCTAATTGTCTAGTCTCTAATAATGTTGTCACACCTAATAACACTAATCTATACTGGATTTAAAGTCTATGAAAAAGTACAGTTTATGTAGTTTTGTGCACTTTGTTTCAGGTTTAAAATGATATTTTTTGGTCTACAGAATATATATTATATTTCATATGTATTTTGTGATGAATAATTTTATTCACCAATAGTAATGAAATTTAAGATTCCAGGAAAATATTTTACAAAATTAAAATGTTAAAAAGAAAATGTAATTTGTTTTTTAATGTTTTCCTCAATTTTTAAACCCATAGTCAATGCACTTTTGAAAGCTTATCAACATAGTGAGAAAAAAAATACAAGAGGTAGAGTAAAAATCCGTATGTACACGTATTGTCGGCTTTACAAATCTTCGACTTGAAACAGCCCCAAGAATCTTCCTTTGTTTTTAATTAAGAATCTTTAAGGCTTTTAAAGCATTAATGTTTTCTTTAGATCTTAGCTGTTATCACACTTCTTATTTGGGCATCATGCCTAATTGTCACACAAATGAATGTCATACAGAATAAATCTTGATAGAAAAGATATGAGGCACACGAGGCTTTCACTATCTTTTTTATTACCAGAACCACTCAAATAAATCTCCACACAGAACCTAAACTAGGAACATGTAGAATGCAAACATCCAAAACACTTATTATACAAATATTTATCTGAATACTGAATGGATCCTCATCCAACGCATAAGGGCTGTGTACACATAAGGGCGGTTTAATGTCGGTAGCGTGTGAAGTTTCCAAGCTATTCATACTTGGAAATCTAGGTCAGTTTGGATAGCTCACCCCCTTCTTAATGAATTAAATCACCATTTAAAAACTGCTTATTGTATTTACTCAGATTATCTTCATCGGATTTTAAAATTTCTTAATGATCTGAAACATTTACAAAAATAATAGAAATGGAAAAAATCACCTCTTAACCTCTAGCATACATGACACAACTCTAAGTAGAAAGCTGTTTAATCCAATGATGAAATCAAAATATGCTTTAACGTTTTATTAAAATATAGAAGGTCAAACATTTCCTCTGTATTAATTGTGTGTTCTTTACAGACCTTTCACAGTAGTTAACAGGAACTTTTGCCTTTTTTGTGTCTGCTATATAGCGCATTTTGCTCACCTACAACTTTTCAGATATGTTGACAATTATCTATACGATTCAGATCAGAGCTTTCCCTCCAAACACCAGACGTCATTTAGACGTTGGTTTTAAGTCTAAATCTGGTCATTGTCTAACATTTACCACATTAGTCCAATAACAGATGTTGAAAAGACATTGCAAACCCAGTGTTCAAAGCCTTTTCACCTCTCACTTTTAAACCAAATGTAGATGTCTTTACAATGTCTTTTCAACCAAGGTGGGTCAAAAACGTTGACTTTGTTGTCATTAGGCCTTTTGTAAGTACTTTGATAGTATACTTACAAGCATTGACCATATCCAATAACTCATTTGTGCCCAAGTTAAAATTTTCAGGATTGTTTTGCTTTAATACTTATCCCCCTAAACACCAGACATAGTTTAGACATTGGATTTTAGGCTGAATGTCGTTGGTGCATCATAGTCTGGCTTTGGTCCAGAAATCATTGTTGAAAATTGGGCTTTGTTTGGTCTGTCTGATTTTGTCCCACTTTATTTCAATAATAAATGATGAAAACCCAATTTTTAATGTCTTTTCAACGATCTGAATATGAGGGCTTTTCACCTTTCATTTTTCAACAAAGTGTAGACATTGTTT